TGTGTCCGGGGAGGGGTTTTTTTTTTTTTTTTTATCGCGCTCCCCCCCCCCCCCCTACATTTCGCCCCCCCGCCCCCCCCCCCCCCCCCCCCCGCGCTCAGTGAATGATGTGTGCCACTATTAAAAGAAAAGTTAGGAAGTTCTCCCAGTTCCCCTGGTCAATATTTGTCCTCACCCAAGTCTATCCAAAACAAATGCCGTTTGTGATGTGTAAAGTAACTCTTGTGTTTACCTACATAGCAACAGTCGCTGTACCTCAAAAGGAATGCTGCAAAACGCTTTAGGGAGTTTCCAATAAAATATGAATACAGGTCTTTTCTTTCCCTCGTTTTTGCCAATATTATTCAGGAATTGACTGCATAAACACAAGGGGATAACGCTCAATGATTGCTTTTAATGGTTACATCCCACTTTTCTTGGCATTTACAGTTTTCCACTGCCCCTCTCCCATTACTGCAATGCCACTCTTCCTCACTCAGGGAATTTGCTCATTGCTCAATGAAAGGTCCATGGCACTATTTAAAGAGAAACAAAATGTTCTCCCAGGTTCCTGTCCAATATTTATTCTCACCCAACTCTATCCATATAAATGCTATTTGTGGAATCTTGCAAAGTGTAAAACAAATCTGATGTTTGCATCCATAGCAATAATCACTGCACCCCAAAAGTGGAGATGAAAAGCTTAAGCTTAAGATAGAGGCTCAAATCAAAACTGACATCTTTTCACTCCATGTATGACACCCATGACAGGAATACTTTACTAAATGATCCTTAATAGGTTTAGTAACAAAAGACTATCATGACATGCTCACTTTAATAGTTTATTCAACCTTAATCATCAATCAATTTAAACAATGAAGAAAAGGGATTTGAGGACAGGGCAGGAAGACCAGTCATGATTTTATTGAGTTTGGCAGCAGGTTAAATGGCCATATTATCTATTTCTACTCCCTTTTCTTATGTGCTTACATTCTTAAATACATGACCAACACAAAGAACATTTTAACATTGTGGATTTATTCCAATTTAAAAGCAGTGCTGCCATTAGATTTGTTCGACAATGGCAGTATTTTCTTCTTGGGCTTCAGGATCCCTGCTGTAATGGAGGTCATAAACTTACACTGTGGGGAACAGTCAGTCATCTGTGATTTTTCACTTAATGGTCAGAGGGTGGACTCACTATGCAAACTAAGGCAATTGTTGGTGGACTCTCGAACCTGAAGAGCAAAGAGGAGGCCTTCCAGCATGAAAAGCAGCATCAGCTGGATTCATGGTGGACAAGTGAGGGAGATGGTGGTTCAAAATGGAAGCACTCTCCTCTCCGACCTTTCAAGTTTAAAATGAAAGAAAGCATTTGGAGCCTCGCTGCTAATGAGAGGGTTGTCACTAATGCTGAAGCCAGGCAGGCTGGTGGGATCTCCAAGGTTCAGAGTGTTGATCACCATACTTTGCCACCAATAAATTGCCTGCTCATATCTGTACAGATCCCCGCCACGGGGTGGAAAATCCCAGTCAGCCTCTGATAACAGGCCTTAAAAGGCCTTTAACGACCAATTGGCTACCGACCACTTGCATTTGGGTAGCCTTGCCACGCCTCCATAATGCCCCTCGGAAATGATACAAGGACGAAGCTAAGGATGGAGCATGCTGACCAACACTGCTATTTATATTCCAATCCAATCTGTGTGTCACGGTTCTACCCACTTCATTTTGGTTTGACACCAACTAGAATGTAACTCCACTGCAATGTCAAACCTGAAATAGAATGTGCCCCTTGACACCTCCACTCTTTACACCTACTTGCAGTATTCAGTATTTAAGTGCCAAGACAGAAGTGCTGCTCATGTTTGTAAATTTACATGTACCTTGTTCTCTTCTGGGCAGAAATATACAGTCTTCAACCCAAGCATTGTAAGTCAGATACTGAAGTGCAACTGGAAGGCTTATGTGTCAGATGTAATAATATAAATGAGTCAGACATCAATAGAAATAAACAGAAATATCAAATCATATCAGAAAGATAAAATATAAAGTATAGTAATATAAAGTTCTATCAGAATGATACAGCAAAGTCAATGTAGTATACATCTTGGCCAATAGATTAAAAAATGTTGCAGTATGATGACACATTATATCATGGCCTTGCCACAGGGCTCAAATTCATGCTTGTGATTCTTTATATAGAAAGTTCTTACATTCAGCAATGTTACTTGGAAGAGCCACCTTCCCATTGAGAAAGATAGTGAAAATTAGAGGAAAAGACATCCTGAGCCACCTTTGGCAACCTCGTAGCAGCTAGTTACAGAATGGCACTGGCAGAATGCTTGAGAACAGATTGCCTTCTTGTCATCTTGGCTAAGATGTAATATGTGACTCAGGGGAGGGGACTAGAAAGGATATAAGGAAAATATAATACAAAATCAAAGCCCCAAAGCAGTGAATCTTTACAGGTTATTTATAATAGATGCATTATTATTCAAAAGTACACAGAAGTGGTTTTATATCTGGCTTGATATGACACTTTGAAACACATAATCAAATTTTGGTGTAGGTATAACATTTTATCAGATCCAAATTCAGTTGCACTCCTCATTATTTCATCATATAGACAGGACTGTAGTGAGTTAGGTGCTCTCAGTCAGGACAGTAGTTGGAATTTAAGGCTAGGGAGGAGAAAATTCATCAGTGTTCTTTCCTCTGATCATTATCTATTCTGAGAGTGCGTGCATGTATCAGTCGGATTGTTTGGCAGTTGTCACTGCAGCTAACTACTTAGGCAAAGTATCTGAGAGGACGTATGGAGTACAGAATGCCATCAAAAAAACAAGGTGGGAAGTGTGTGAGAAAAATAAGGTTTAACTTCAAATGTATTTTGAATATTGAAAACAATATTGACACTTTTTGAAAACAATTACAGTTGAGAAGTAAATATAGTTTAGTTTCCACATTGGAGACAGTTCAGAGGAGGTTTACTATATTTGTATAATAAACTACAGATGTTGGAGATTTGCATCAAAAACAAATTGCTGGTGAAACTCAGCAGGTCTGACAGCATCTGTGGGGAGAAAGCAGAATTAATGTTTTGTATTTCACTATATTTCTCATACATTTTGAAAATCATCATATTTAAAGTGTGCACTCAGATGCATGACACTACCAAACCCCTTAGATCATACTTGTACAGCAGCACACCTTTTGCAAAAGACAAACAAAAAAGGCTTAAATACGTACATATCTGATGAGTACATTTGATTTGTTCACATTCATCTATTGAGTGAACCAAGCGAAAACTAAGAAATTACTTTTTTTATTTTAGAAGTGCGACCAGTAAGTAACACAAAGCTACTAAATCTCTCCAATTTTTGGTTGTACATATTTTTACAACTATTTCACTTCAACAAACCAAATGAACATACATAGCAAAACATTAAATTTACATCTCAACAAGCGTATGACATTTTTTTAAAAAGTAAAGCTTACGCATTTGATTCGTTGCTTAATGTTAGAATACTCTGCAAGGACTTTCTTTAATAATGGTTGTGTTTTGGTATGGAGCTTGGGCGTAAGTTTCCAGCTGTTGAAAAATTCTGTGTGAAAATGAGCAGAATGAGATACATAGTCAACTTATATTTTTCTAACCTCTAACTGTAGGAGTAGAATATCAGTATGCATTGTACCAATCTATGGCACATTATAACTAAGTACAAAAAGAAATAAGGAATTTTAGCTCCTGTGGCAGAATTCTTTGATGATGAAAAAGTTTAACATGGAACTTAGTTCCCATTGTCAAATTAGAAATAAATCTTCAAAGGGCCTTTAACATAGTGAACCATTCCAAGACATTTCACAGAATAAAATTTGAGAGACTCACATAAAGAAAAACTAAAATAGATGATGAAAAGAATGGTTAAAGAGATAGGTATTAAAAGAGGAAAACAAGATGTAGGGTTTAGGGAGGGAATTCCAAAGCTGTGGGCCTTAGCAGGTGAAGGTATGGCAACCAACTGTGGGTCTCCTAAAATTAAAGAATTACCAGAGTCTACAATTAAAGGAGTGCAGATATCTAGAGGCTTGTAGCGATGGAGAAGGCTACAGAGATAGAGAAGGGCAAGAGCAGGGAGGGATTTTAAAACAGGGATGAGAACTTTAAAATTGCCAGACAGTGAGCCAATTAGTCAATGAGAGTAGGGGTGATGGGTCAAAGGGATTTGGTGCACATAAGGAAATGCCGAGTTCTGCAACTGTCTTGAGTGAAAGATCTGAAAACAATGTCTGCAAAATCAAATACAATCTCCATGATAATTCACCTCATCGAAGATCAATGCCCTCTGATGTGAGTATTAAATACTGCTTAGGTGGGAAACTGTTTAATCCTAAACTCCTCTGTGTCAATATTGAACTGACCATGCATGATCCACAGTTATTGCCCACTTTACACAGATTCGCAAACCACTCAAA